TTTATTAGTTACCTCCCTTGATCCTAGAAGGAAAGTTGGTAGATAAAGTATAAACTATGAGAAGGATCCTTAGGATGGACAACAGGGATAGTCTTTCATGAATGGTATTAAGAATGCTGGATATGTCCTTTGCCATGCAGATTAATGTTTTTTTTCTTTCATGCATTTGTTTCTAACACATAAGATTAGCTCTTTGTTGCTTTGTATATCCCTCCACCACAGTATAACCCCTGCTTTCCCTATATTTTATGTCAGTATAACTTGTGGAGGAGATGGGGAAAAACAAGTCGTTTAAGGATACAGGTGGACCTGTTGCAACAATAAGTACAAGTTGTCATGTCAAAAACAAGCTTTACAACGTTGGGGGGGAGGGGGAGAGGATGGGGGGGAAGCTGGGAAGGGATGTGAAGGGTAAACAAAGGAGGAGGCTACAATGCTTGATAAGGAATGTATGCATTATCCTGCCCATGTAATTGTAACCCCTCTGTACAGTATGTTCACAAAAAAATTAAATTAAATTAAATTTAAAAAAAAAGAATACTGGATATCCTCATGAAAAGGAAGGAAACCACAAAAAACAAACACAAAATACAAAACCAATTCATAGGTGGGTGCTAGTGGCTCATGCCTGTAATCCTAGCTACTCAGGAGGCTGAGATTTGAGGGTTGAGATTTGAAGCCAGCCTGGGCAGGAAAGGCTCTGAGACACGTGTCTCCAATAACCTACTCAGAAGAAGGCTAGGAGTGGTGCTGTGGCTCAAATGGTAGAATGCTAGCCTTGAGTAGAGAGAGGCTCAGGTACAGAGCACAGACCCTGAATTCAAGTCCCAGTATCAGAAAAAAAAAGAAAAAGGTCAAAATTGATTTGATATTCAAATATAAGACTAGAAAATTCACAGAACATAGTGAGAGCTGTAGAACATCATGCTTTCTTATATATGATCATAAAGACCCAAACAACCAATCCACAAATATTTTTTAAAAAATATTTTAATAAGTATGAATTAAACAAATGTACTACTTTATTAGATTATATATATATATATATATATATTCAGTTTACTTATCTTTTGTCTTGTCATAGCTATAGCATTGAATATATGGAAACCTGAGTTGGGGCACTACCTACCTTTCCTGCCATGAGCACTAATCCTGTTTTCAGGAGATATTCATGGCAAATGTAAGTTATGGTTGCTATTATAGTTGTGAGTCTCAACATAGTGTTTTTTAAATAAAACAACTTTCATTATATATAATTGCACATATTTTGCATTGACAGTTTCAGAAAGTTAAGAGCAAATTACATTTTATTTGAGAATGTGTGTTTAGCTTGTAGCATTAAACCAGTCATTTTAAATGCGTATATGGTGGCTTACACCTGTAATCCTAGCTACTCTGGAGGCTGTGCTCTGAGGATTATAGATTTTAGCCAACCTGGGCAGAACAGTTTGTGAAACTTTTATGTTCAGTTAAGCACCAGAAAGCCAGAAGTGGAACTGTGGAGCACTATCATTGAGACAGCACTCTGGCCATGAGTTCAAGTCCTAGGACAGGCACACATACAAAAATTCTGTTGACTAAATTAGGTAAGGATTGAAACATAGTATGTTAAATATTAAAACAGAAAGTTTTACCTTGAGATGAAGCTATTTAAACCTAACTACTTTATAAAATATGAACCTGTAGGGCCCATTTAATTTACCAGAATTGACTACTTGAATACAGGGTCATAGATTCAACTTCATTAAAAGTCATAACTTTGACTCATGCCATTGACTCATGCCTGTAATCCTAGCTGCTTAGGAGGATTGTGGTTTGAAACCAGCCCAAGCAAGATTTTTAGCTACAATTAAGCACCAGAAAAAAAAAAACAGAAGTGATAGAGCACTAGCTTTGAGCTAAAAAACAAAAACCTAAGGGACAGTGCCCAGGCTCTGTTCAGGTACCAGGACCAGCACGCGCACGCACACGCGCACGCGCACACACACACACACACACACCACAGAGTCATGTTAAGTTAAATTTTTATCGACTTATATTTATTCTATTTCTTTCATTTGCATCATCTCTCTTAACCCAAAGGTGATTATTGTTACTAGCAGGATTATGATTATCTTGATTATCTGTATTTGTCTATATTAATTCTCATAACTACAGATGACTTTATATTTCAAATCTATAGAGCTATCATTTATGACTATATATCAAGCCTAGAAATGCTGTTTTACCACCCACAGTGAGAAAATAATTACAATGTAGGCCACTATCTCACATCCACTTCTGATAGCATTTTTCCTGTTATAACAATGGTACATTTATTCTCCTTTTATACACTATGCTCTTAGATTAATAGAATGCCTTTGCAATTAGATTCTTCATAGACTTCCATAAATTATATATAATTGTGCATCAATAAACAGTTGCTTCACTTATGCATAGTTTGGTTCCTTTAGTGTTACATAACATCAATTTTTTATTGTGAAAATACCGTACAGAGGGGTTACAATTACATGGGCAAGGAAATGAGTACATTTCTTATCAAGCATTGTTGCCTCCTCCTTTGTTTCTCCTTCCCATCAATTTGCCACAGAAATGCTCATCTGGAAAAACAGGGATCTAGTATTCATATCGTACTTAATAAAATGCTCTGTTTTGCAATTCTCTGGAATCTAGTAATTTGCTCTCATGTCTAAAAAAGGTTTTACCTAATATCCTTAATTATTTCTTTGAATATTCATTGGTAAACATTTTAAAGTAGAATACTTATCATTTTTATAACTTTTAAGTTCGAGATACTCCATAATCACTAGTTCACTAATTTGAGCTACAGACTTTGATTTTTTTATGTTATTAAAACATTTGAATGCATTATATCCATAGCTTGAGATATTATTGGTGACCAGGAAAGAAAAATGTTTGAAGGTGCAGTAGTTCAAAGGATAATGTCATTCAAAAGAAGCTGAGTACTTTGTACCTGGACCACAGGAAAGATACCTCAAAGACATGTCAGAAATAAGCGTGACCCCATCCATCCAAAGCTCAAAAGCACAAAGATATACATTCATTTCAAATATTTACCTTTGATCAGAGAGCCCTCAGGACAGGGATGTTTATGGAACTATTTTCTTTGGACTCATTTCCCCATGTTCAACCATTAAGGCTTTCAGAGGCCCCTGTAGCCAAGGTTGAAGGGCATTTCAGTACATCTAACAGCAGCTTTGTGTAATCCAGGTTATGCTGGGATTTCAGGAATGGAGAATACAAGAGTTATGGACTCATTAGGGCTTTTACTGAAATTACAAGGTAAAGCCTTGTTGGCCAGGGTATGGCAACGTTGGGGTCTCTGTAAGAAGCTTTTGACAGGGTGGTTTATGAAACTCTGAGTAAAGCTATAGCTGCAGTGGATAACCCAGACACTTAGAAATTATATAACATGGAATTCCTGCTGATGAGTGCTGCATACAACAAGTAGAGCCAGCTCAAGAGTGGCCATATGGGCTGTGCATAATGAAGCCATTGGGTCTGGGCTACCCAATCTCTTTGGAGCTTATCTCCAAAGGATTTTATTGTTATATTATTGGGCTTTACTCTTAACTTTGATCCAATTCCTCCTTATTATTTTTATATTCCTCCCTTTCAGAATGTATTTTTTTGCCCTGTGTCATTTTCTTTTGTTGCTATGTAATTTGTTATTTAATCCCAATGGTAGCTGACAGCTGTTTGCCTTCAGTCTTGGCACTTAAGACTTTTGAATGTTGCTGGAAGTTAGACTGGGAATTCTGAGACAGACTAAATGCATTTGCATTATGAGAGGGACATAAGCTATTGAGAGCAAGAGGTGGAATACTAGACTGGATTTTGAATATCTCAAACTTTTTACAAGGCTTTGTCCCCCCCCCCACTTGCTAGCAAGTAGATCCTAGTCTCAGGAAGTTCAACCAAGGGGAGCATGTTCTTAAGGAGAATATTGGGATTCCTGTCTCTATTTCCTGGTCACCATGAGTTAAGCAGTATTCCCAGACATATACTTCTGCAATGATGTACTCTGCTGCCACAGACCTACAGCAGCAAGACCCATTGACCATGCACTAGAATGATACAGAAGAGGAAGAAGATCTAAAATATTTTTATCATAGTAAGGGAAAACTATCAACAGAATAATAGAACGAAGGGTCAGGGTATTTTATTTCTTAATTTTTTACTATCAAGTTTTAGTTTCTCAGTATCTGCCACTTGTCTATTTAAACTCACTGCTACAAATATTGGACATTCTTGGTTATAGAACATACTACCTCTCCTTGTCCCTTCAATTCTTAAAAGTTGCTAACCTCAGAATTTCTTGATTTTTCTTAATTCCTATACGCCTTAGTAAGATGCTATTTCATCACCTTTTTCAGGTATGATATATATTTTTAGCCAGATTCTAACTGAAACATGGGTAATGGTGAGTCGAAACATCTTGTAGAATGTCTGAAGGAATGGGGGGAACTGCTGGGGAGAAAAATAGGAAGATGGAGTTTTAACACATTTTACAGCTTGCTTATTATAACAATCTCTCTTTAAATGAAAGAGGAATAAATCCTTGCATTGCTTCTTAATTATTTTGGTCTGGTTGCTATTTCTTTGCATGCTCACAGGATAGGAGTACATGATTAGATGAAGCTATTAGGGTCTATCAGGAGCTTATTATATCATAGTAAAACAGTTCTCTGATGAAATTAGAAGCAACCTAACCAAGTGTACCTTACCTGCTAAGTTTCTATTCACATTTAGTGAACAGTCATGGTGTGTTCTTCAATATCAAGTAAGATAAGACACTCATTTTTATGTTTTAATATTTGTTTTTATTGTAAAATAGAGAATAGTAACTTACTCCTTTCGGAGGCAGCAATTAAACTTGGATAGTTACAGTATGTGAATTGTCATTTCAAAGGTATGCCAAAAGCAACTGATACTGGCTTTTCTATCACAATTACATAACTCAGGGTACAAAACTCAAATTATAATTCTCTGCCATTAGAACGTACTCGCCTTCGACAAACAGGACATGTAGCATTATCAGCCAGCCATGAATCTATACAGTGTACATGGTATGTATGAGAGCAAGGCAGTGTGCGAATCTTATTGCCCTCTCTGAATTCCTCGATACAGATAGTACATGAATTTGATGCATCGCTTTCATTAAAATTTCTTACGGTTAACATATCAATTTGTCGTTTAGAGAGTCCTCCCATAGGAGGGCTGTCTTCATGTGCCTCTAAGTGATCTTCAATAGGTGAGAAGTTGAAGTCATCAGATGTTGGGGTAATAGGTCTACTTTCTTCCCTGGTCTCTAGTGATGAGTTTGATAGTGAACTTTCAGTACTACTACTTTCATCGCTGGAGTTATAACTGGCAATAAGACTAGATTCCGAATTTCCTGGGGAATTATAGGAATCCCAGTCAGGATTTAGATTAGAAGCATAAATTTCACTCTCATCAGACTCATAATCTCTTTCACTTTCTGTATTTTCACTTTCTGTGCTATCAATTATGAATGAGTCACTATGTTCAAAATCACTATAACAATAAACCTCGCTCTCGTCTCTATGACTGTCTTCATTCTCACGATCAGTGTCATTATCATTGTTACCATCAGTGTCATTCTCTGTGTCACTGTCATTGTTTGTATGGTTAGTTAGTGGATCAAATTCTACCATTATCTGGCATAATGTTCTGTGAGTAATCACTAATGTGGCATTATTTAAATGAACCTTTGACTGTGTAGACACAGTTGTTCGGATACAAGCAGTCTCACGTGACTGCTCAGTATTTGAAAGCATAGTTCTGCTTACTTGACCACTTCCTAAAGTACTAGTGTTGCTTGTTGTCTGAGGTGTTACTTGACTTCTATTAGCTATGTTGTCTCCTAGTGAATGTTCTCTTACTGTGTTAAAACTTACTTCAGAATTTGAATCTGGGGTTTGATTACTTGGTCTCATTATAGAGGACTCACCACGAATGCTTCTGTTTGAATCAGTTTGTGCTGTACGGTCATTTGTTGCTGTCAAACCTGCAAGAAGTTGTTTAATACACAAACTACAACCAGTCGTTTGCCCTGTCAGTGCCTCGTGTTGTGGAATGCTAGAAGACATCTCAGCCTCATTAACCCTAGAATTCTCAGAGGATGTATTATTAGGAAGCAAGCTACCTTCAATTCTTTGTTTAACTCTCCGACGTACTGGACTCGTGCTTCTTGTTCTTCTTTGGATTCTGCTAGGTAGATTGTCCATTGATGTTTCCGCTGCAGTGACTTCTGATGTAGATGGCCTTACGGATGTTGTCTCAGATTGTGAATTTGCTGTTCGCCTATAGTTCTTTCGTGTATTTTGAACTTTTCTTTGTATTTGACTTTGTGAATTTGAGGGTGAGCTCTCCTCATTTCTGGCTCTAACTCTCTGAAGTTCAGGGCTCCTATTTCTTTCTCTTCTCTGACCACTAGTACCTGGAGTATTCATTGAGGATATAGTTGTATTTAGTTGTGATCCTGGAAATGTTACATCAGTTTCTGTACGTGTTTGTTCCTGAATGTTTTCTGGATTATGAACTCTCCATAGAATTCCATTCTGTGAATATGAAGATGAACTACTCTGAGGCCTTGCTCTGACTTTCCGGATTATTGTGCTTATGTTACTTTCTATTTCCTGACTTGCAGGAGGTTGAACTTCAGTTGATGCTTCGCTCGCACTTGCTTCTGCTCTAGAAGGCCTTGAAAATATTGAGTCAGATTGTGTATTCGCTGCTTGCCTCTGGATTCTTGAGTAAGAATTCATTCTTACCTCGGTATCACTTGTGTTTAAATTATTTTCACTTGTTGCTGTACAAGATCGATTTACTCTTTGTTCTCTTCCTGTCATCGGTTCAGGTTGCCTAAAGATGGAACTAACCTGGTTTGTTACCGAACCAACACTATGTTGTACATCATGGATAGGAGGTCTTCCACCTGTTAAAAGGAAATAAGGTAAAAAACAGAATTTACAAAATTATAACCATCACTAAATAGTGCTCTGGAACTTTGTTCCAAAACCAATGGAAATAAGTCTAATGTTTCAGATATCTCAAGCACAATTCACATTTATAGTCAGGTGCTGCTGGCTCACACTTGTATTACTAGCTACTCAGGAGACTGAGATATGAGAATCATAGTTTGAAGGCTGCCCAGGTAGTAGTAAAGTCTGAAATTCTTATCACTGATTAACCCTGGAAAAGCCAGAATTAGAGTTGTGGTTCATGTGGTAGAGTGCTAACCTTGAGCAAAAACCTAAGGGACAGTGCCCAGGCCCTGAAGTAAGCCCTCAGGACCAGCACAGAAAAAAAAATAACGCATTTACACAGTTAACGCTTTTGTAAACTATAGTCTAAATTTATAAGGAAGGATAGTTTCAATAGCTTTTGTAAAAGAAGGATAGTTTCATTTCCCTTTGAAAAGAGTTAAATTTTATATAACTTTAGGGAAATTTAAAAAGAAATTTATTTTTCGTATTTCACCATGTACTAAGTCTTTTATATTAATATGGAGGACAAGTTAAAAGACATTATTTCTCAAGCTACTATCAAAATATCCATATGAAGAAATGGGGAAAACACAAGATACGCAGTTAGCATTTTAGTTCAAACTGCCTTATTGTTTAATTTCTTTAGCCTACGACACTATTTCTAGGCTCTTGACTGAAATTTTTTATAACACAAAGAGTTTTTTGATATTATAAGACTATTATAAATACTGGCAAGATGAAAAAGGTCCTTTGGCTTAAAAATAATTTCAAGAAAAATATTCTGAGCAAGATAGCAGAGTAGAAGCTTTCTCCATTGAACTCCATGAATGAAAAAGGCCTAGTTAACAAAGGAGAGGGTATATTCAGAAGGGCAGAGAGAGAGAGCTAAGAACCATTGAAAGAGGAACAGGACAAGTGAAAAGTATGATGACATGGAAAGGCAACAGATTACAGTAGGGAACAGTTTGTGGCTCTAGCCCTAGCTCCTCTGGGGCAAGTAGAAATAGAAGCGTCCACCACAAGGTAAACTAGGTGGCCTCCATAGCAGACTTAACAGACCTAGCTGTGGAACAAGTCTTGGCTTGCCTTAAACAAAAGCTTTAGCACCAGTGTAGGGATTTGGTAGGACAGTGACTTCCCCAGCATGACAGGCCAGCTGTATCCTGGAAGCGCTGGTGAGACACCATCTTTAGAGAGTGTCTTCTCTTTGAGACAGAAGTACTCAAGGGTCTTGAAACAAGGTATTCAAAGTGTCTTGAGATTTCAGGCTACAGAGTCTTGGAGGGAACTGGGGAGAAGATAACAGATGTGTGTAAGCTGGGAAGTTAACAGGATCTCAGAAAGTAAAAAAACTCAATGGTTGAGGATCTTACCCTCCTTGTTTAGAACAGTTTCAAAGCTTAAGGATTGTTTTAATGACAATGTGTTGTGCCCTCAGTTAGGCTGCTCAGATTCCAGGAGCTTCTGGCTGACTGTTGGGGTTAGTAGCCAAGCAGGGTTTGAGAAGTACCCTCAAGACTTGAAAAACAAGGGATGCAAACAGCTCAGGGATGCTCTGGAACAGCTGGACAGTATCTGGGAGTGAGATAGAAATGAGAGGTGGCTGTGGAGAGGGAGATACTTTGATATAGGTGAGTCAAGAAAGAAAAAAAGTTCAGTGAAGTGCCAAATACCTACCTAAAAAAGAAATTAAGCCACATTAGGTGGTCAAGATCCTGGTAGTAGGGGGCCTTGCCATTTCTGACTAGAGTAAGTCCAAGAATATCACTGTAGAAACCACAGTAATGCCATACAAAGCAGGAAGAGCTACCTGCTGATGTTTGGTCTTGCTGCCACACTGCTGAAAGCTCTAGCATAGTATCTGATGCTCAGGATATATCCACCAGCCTCTTGACCTACACAGAGTGATGAACTGCTTTGTGGGATCTGAAAGAACTGAGAATTAAACACCTGGCTCTCTCATGTTTCTACTACCAATGCAGAACTTAGTGCTGTGTTTATCCCTCCCTCTGTTAGACACATTTTGGATATACCCAAAAAAGGTTATCCTTGTATTGCCAGATGGGAGTTACAAGCAAGAGAGCCTGTGAATTGAGTGGGAAATTGCCTTGGTCATACACAAAAAAGCAATGAGCAGATAGCAGTAGCTTCTAGTTAATAAAGAAGAGGTACACTTATTTCTGATCCTGTACAAGTATCACAGAAGGAGATACATAACCCTTGACCAATCCTATCCTCAATCTACATATAAGAGCAATGCTAAGGAAATACAGGAGATTATAGCTAGTTTTCATCTTTCTCAGTGATGCTGGTTATCAAGACTGCTGACTTGTGCAGACAGACAAAAGTTTGGCTACTGAGACAATACAGTGATCAGCAACTACACTGCAACCTGCAAAAAAGTGCTTTCTAAACACTTCTACTACCAGACTACAAGTAATTAAAGCATTCAACAAACGAAATGTCCTCAGATGCATAAATCTCAGTGCAGAAGCACAAGAAATATGAAAAGAACAAAAGCAACAGACACTAATGATACTGAACAAGAATGAAAGCTCAAATAACTGAAAAGCAGGATTATAAGAATGACAAAGAAAATGAAATGATACATGTATAAAGAGTTTAAAGGAGATAGAAGGAAACAACTGAAAAAGTCAAAGAATGAAACAAATGCCCGCCCAAACAAAATAAGGAAAATGACACACAAATAAAGGAAGAATTAAAAAAGATGTAGAAATCCTAAAAAAGAATTCCATTCTGTAAATCATCAGTACCATAAGACAAATACAAACTCAATGGAATATCTCTATGGTACAGTAGAACAAACTAAAGACAGGATATCAGAAAACAAGGCAGTGGTATTAGACCAGTCAGATGAAGATTATAAAAATGTAAGAAATCCTAATGGATCATCTAAAACCTGACATAATATCCAAAAGTGTGAATGATAGACATAAAAGGAGATCTGTTGCAAGGTAAATAGGCACAAGATATATTTAGTAAAACAACAGGAAAAAAATTACCCACAACTAAAGAAATAAATAGCCATTAAAGTAGATGAGGCTTTTAGGACACCTAATGGACAATACCAGAAAAGATCACCCCAAGATCTATTACTACCAAAACACCAAACACACAGAACAAAGAATAATAGAAGCTGTAAGACACAAACACCAAGTCACATAAATCAAACCACTAGAATAACGGATTCTGAAACAGAAACTATGAGCACCTGCATAAAAAAATCAGACATATCTTAAATAATGTAATGATACAACTCAAGTTTTATTTAAACAAGAACAATCCAAAATCCAAATTACAATGTGGAAAAATTAGCAGGTGAAAAGAAATGATAGCAAAATCAAGATTGAAAAATAAATAATATAATGACTCAATTATACAACATGTTGGTTCTTGAAAAGACAGAAAAAGCCTTAATTGTATAGTCAAAAGGAGGGAGAAGAAACAAATTAATAACAGACATGAGAATGGGGACATCACAATAAGTGCCAGTGAAATTTAGAGCATCATAAGATGATACTTCCATAACATATCCCAAATCAGCTGGAAAATATAGAAAAAAGAAACAATTCCAAGATTCACATGGCCCTCTACATTGACCTCAAAGTCTATTGACCACTTTATATGACTTAAGAACAATAAGATTAAACTGTAATGAAGATTCTCTCAACATGAAAATCCCAGAACAGAACAGAATCATCGCCAAATTCTACATTTGCCAAATTGATCATTGAAGATGCACTAACACCAGCATTCCACAAACTAGTCCATAAAACAGAAAAGGAAAGAATTCTACTTGACTCACTCTATGAAGCCATTATTGCCATAATAGGCAAAACCAAAAAAAAATTGCAGCTGGCTTGCTGAACATGCAAAAATTCTCAAAGACAGGAATTAAAACATTTAAAAGATCAAAGAGCATAATCAAGTTGGCTTCAATCCAGTAGTGCAATATCTTTTCATGATAAAAATTCAAAGAAAGCAGGAATAGAAAGAATATACTGCAACATAATAAAGACTACACATGACAAACACAGCGCTAGCATCATACTAAAGGGAAACTGAAATAATTTCTGTAAAGTCAGGAACTCATTCCACTCCTATTCAATATTGAACTAAAATTCCTAGCTAGATCAGTGATGCAAGAGAAATAAATGAAAGGGATACATAGAGAAGGAGGAGATCAAACTGTCCATGTGCTTTACCTATAGGACCCTAAAGATTCTGCCCAAAACTTCCTAGATTGATAGGAGCTACTAGGAATGTAGCACAATTAAAACCCACATACAAAAATTAATAGCTATGCTGTACACTAGCAATGAAAAGGATGAGCATGAAATCAGAACAATTCTACTTACAATAGCCACAAAAATTGGAAGGAAGGAAAAATTGCCTAGGAATAGATGCAACTAAGTGGGTGAATTACCTCTACATTGAAAACTATAAAACCTTGAAGAACAAAATTAGAGAGTCAGAAGATCTTCTATGCTTATTGGTTAGCAGAATTAGCATTGTGAAATGCCTATAACACCAAAAACATTTCTGTAGATTTCATGAAGTCTTCATCAGAATCCAATCTTATTCTTCACAGAAATATAACAAAATTGAAACTAAAATTGGTATGGAAGCACAAAACACTCCAAATAGCCATAATAGACTTTAGCAAAATAAACAATGTTGTGATATTAAATAGTCGACTTCAAATTATACTACAGAGCTATAGTAAAACAAACAACATGGCAACGATACAAAAACTAATAAAACAGAGTAGGAAATCTAGAAATAAATCCACAAAGCTACAGCCACCCGATTTTTTTCATTATAAAGTAGCCCCAAACTAATATTGGAGAAAAAGAGCCTCTTCAGAAAAAGTGGAAATCCACATACAGAAGCCATTATCTCTCATCCTGTACTAATATCAATTCAGTGTGGATCAAGGATTCTAATGTATGACTATAAACAAGACACAACTACAAGAAACAAAAGAAAAACCCTTGAACATGTTTATATTAGCTGTAACTTCCAGAATAGAGCTATAACACCTGCACAAATAGGGACTAATAAATGGGATTGCAGCCTTGTACACAGCAAATGAAGCAGTCGCTAGCCTGAAAAGACAGCCTACAGAAGAAAATACTTGCTAGCCATACATTTGACAAGGAATTAATAACCTGAATATAAAGGGAGCTCAAATTAAACTCAGAATAAATAAAAACCAATTGAATAAATCTGTAAATGAATTGAGCAAACAAATTTCAAGCTAAATCTAAATGGACAATAGATACAAGGAACAATGGTCAACATGCCAGAACATAAAAGAAATGTAGATAAAAATGACATTGAACCAGGCCGCTGCTGGCTCATGCCTGTATCCTAGCTCCTCAGCATGTTGAGACCTGAGAAACTCAGTTTGAAGCCAGCCCTGACAGGTAAGTCTGTGAGGCTCTTATCTACAATTAACCACTGAAAAGCCAAAAGTGAAGCTATGGCTTAAGTCATAGAGCATTACCCTTGAGCAAAAATCTCAGGCACAGTGCCCAAGCCCTGAGTTCTCTTTCCTGTCATAATGGCCATCATCACAAACACAAAAAGTGAGGAGGTTTCAAGAACAAAAGAACACTTACACAAATTGGTTGAAATGTGATTGTTCAAATCAGTATACAGGTTCCTCCAAAACATAAAACAATGAAGTATCATACAATTAAGTAATTACACTACTCCCTGGATAAATCCAAAGGAGCAGATAAAATGACACATTTGTTCATTCGTGCCCATTCCTTGCAGCAATAGCAATAGCGAAGACATAGAAACAGAATAGATCCAATACAACTGTTGAATGGATGGAGAAAATATGGCATATATACACAATGGACTATTATTCAGCCATAAGGAAAAACGAAACTAGGTTGTTTGTAGGGAAATGAGTAGAACTGGAGATTATCCTGTTAAGCGAAATAAGCCATGACCTGAAGTAAGATGTTACATGTTTACTCTGATACAGGAATATGAATCCTAAAAGAGTCACATGTACATGTATGTATCTATACATAATACAGATACACACTTTTGTAATTGTATGACTCTTTTTGGAGGAAGGGAGTAAAAGAGAGTGTTAGATGTGAACAATGCTGAAGTATATGTATTCTATAAAGATCATAAAACTACTCACTGAAAGCTGTTGAATAATGTGAGTAGGAGGGAAGGGGAAAGTGAGAGTCAGCAAGGGCATAGCTTTGGTTATAATACTCTACATGCATGTGTGAAATACCATGGTGAAACCCTTTAGAACAATTAAGATACACTTAAAAATGTTAAGAACAGTTCCTACCTAAATATGTGTGCTAGTGAGAGGAGGTGAGAGTGAGTGGAGAGGAAAAAATGTATGGAAATATGGAAAGAAATGTATGAAAATGGAATAAGGAAGCAGAGTGATTAGACAATCAAGGTATATTGTATACATAAATGTAAACTAAAGACTGAAACCTCCAACAAGTTTGACAAGAAATGTACTTATTACCTTACTTATACAACTGTAACCCCTCTGTATATCACCTTGACAATAAAAAAAGAGTTCTATAAAAGAAAACACATCCATCTGAAAGTAATAATAAAACTAATGAAGAGGACATTTAAAAAATCAGAGTTGAAGGATATAATTCACTCATTAGGCTATTACTAATACCATACAAATGTAGAAGAAAGGGAGAGACAGAGAAAGGGAAGAGAGAGTGGAAGGAGAAAACAAAAGAAAAGGAAAGGAAAGGAAAAAGGAAAGGAAAAGAAGAGAGGAAGAGGGAGAGAGAAAGGAAGGAAGGAAGGAAGGAAGGAAGGAAGGGAAGGAAAGGAAAGAAAGAAAGACAGGAAGAAAGAAAAGAAAAGAAGAGAAGAGAAAAGAAAGACAGACAGACATCTCTTATCTTCATAGCACTCCAGTAATGGGGAGATTTTTAAGACAATTATCTCAAGATTTGCAAAATCTCACCTCTGACATGTTCTTGACAGAAAGGTATGCACAGGCAAATAGGAAGGTTAGAAGATTCAATTCAATTAATTTCTTAGATAGACTTAGGAAATGTTACACATTAAAAATTGCACTCTGTCTACCCATACTTACCATAAAAAAATCCCTGGAAGTGACTGTTGTTGTTGTTGTTGTTTCCTAGTCTGTGTGAGCACCTGTTTCAAGGCCTCAAATTAAAGTTACATTGAAATTGACCTAGACCTCTGAACTCATTGTCCCAATCCACCAGTAACTGTGCATCACTACTAATTCTCTTGGCTAATACACTTATGGCTGTTTGGCTCAACTTCTCTTTTTTGATCCAACATTTAACAGCATCTCTCATTGCTTCTTTTTATTTTCTTTACTCTGGAAATTCTTTCCTTCCCTGTCGTACCTAATTACAGGGCCCCAAACTTTATGGCATGTCTATGTATGTGTTGTTCCATACCTGTAGAAGTGAGACTGAAACTGTAGGCACTTTAAGAAAAATATAAAGGAAAGAAGGGTCTGGGCACTAATTACATAATAATAGTTATTTGATTATAGTTGAAATTAAATTTTTGTTTAAAATATCAGCAACAGCTAGCCTGGCACCTGTGGCTCACATCTGTTATCTTAGGTATTTAGGAGGCTGAGATCTAAAAGACATGGTTCAAAGTCAGCTGGGGCAGGACAGTGATACTCTTTTTATTTGTTGTTGGTCGTGGGGCTTGAACTCTGGGCCTGAATGCTGTCCCTCAGCTCTTCAGCTCAAGGCTAGCACTCTACCACTTGAGCCACAGTGCCACTTCCAGGACAGTGATACTCTTATCTCCAGGTCAAGCACCAAAAAAGACAGAAGCGCTGGGGCTCAAGTGGTAGAGCATTAGCCTTAAGCAACAAAACTCAGGAACAGTGCTAGGCGCTTCGGTCAAGCCCCAAACCTGACAAAAAGAATGTCCCTGTACTCTGTACCGTATTTTCACAATAAAAAAACTTATTAAAAATAAATTTTAAAAATCATCTAAAAAAAAGAATGTCCTTGTAAATCTACAAGTAAATACACTGATAATAAAGAAAAAAATATACAGTGGGACATGATACATTATACAGGTCTCTAGCCAGTCACACAGTGAAACCAAAGGAGGATATTGATAGGAGCAGATTACACAGGCTCAAGAGTTATATACATATGACCATATACAATAATATTTTAGGAAATGAACTCCAAGAAATGGAAACAAGGTATTACGTTGTTGTTGTTCCTGTTTTGGTTGTCTTTTCCTTTTGTTGTATTTGCTAGTTTGTATTTGGGATGGTGGGGGGGCACAGAAAAGGTAAGACAAAAGTTGAACAAATACAACTCACTAGACACTATGTTTAAAATGAACTATACAACTTGTAGGTAGGGACAGGAGGGAAAACTGGGAGAGAGTGAGGGAAGGGAGTGACATGATTCCAAAAGAAATGTACTCTTTAACTGACTTATGTAACTGAAACCCCTCTATACATCACCTCTGCAATAACAATAAAGTTACTTAATAATTAAAAAAAACAATAAAATATCCTATAAAATTAATGGTGCTAATAAAAATGTTAGACAAAAAATTCAATAGGGTTTAGAGTATAGTTCAGAGGTAGAGGACTTACCTGGTGGGTTAAAGGTCCTGGGTTGAATGGTTGGCATGAAATAGTTCGGATAGAATCCTGAAAGAGATAAAAGACAGCTATGGGAACCAGATAGAAGGAAAGAAAAGAACCCACAGAATGGATGAAACTCTTTTCATGCTATTCATCAGATAAAGTAATAAGTACATTATATAAAGAGCAAAAAAATTAGCATGAAGAGAAGAAATAATTCAATTAATGAATTGTTAATCATATTGAGCAGACAGTTCTCAAATAGCTAATTGAATAATATTAAACATCCCTTACTACTAAGGAAATGCAAATCAAAATGATACTAAGCTTCCATCATCTCCTAATGAGAATGGCTATCATAAAAAAATGTTAACACGGATTTGCAGGCAGAAAAATGTTGATACACTGATGGTAAGAATTTGTTGTCAGTACAAAAATCAGTATTGAGGTTCCTCAAGAAACTACAAATAAAGTTATCATATGATCCATTAGCATGTATATATCCAAAGGAATGTCAAATCAATATATAACAGTGATACTCACCCATGTTTATAGCAGCAATATTTACAATAGTCAGGCCATGAAACCAAGCTAGTAGCCTAGTAACCAATGACTGGATAAAGAAAATGTGGTACATTTTTCCAACTGGAATGTTAGCCTTAAAGAACAAATTTGTCTCATTCACAGGAAATTGACAGAAGTGAGCAACATAAGCATCCTCAGAAAGACTGCCACACATTTATGTGTGTCTTGATATAACAATAAAATCTGATATAATTTGAGGAGGGGAAGCAATAGGGAGGAGAGGGGATGGAGAGGCTGATTTTATAAATATAGAATACATATAATATGTAGAATACATATAATATGTATATAAAAGATATCTGGGAAGTTGCACTGTGCCTCAAGTGGTAGAGTGCTAGCCTTGAGATGAACCGCTGAGGGACAGCGCCCAGGCCCAGAGTATAACTAAATAAATAATATATGTATAATTATTATATTATCATATTAAACATTCTATATAATTATATAATATATACTCATATAATGGAATTATAATTACAAATATACACTTATAATTATATTTATATACATGTAATATTTAAATGCACTTACAGAAATTTATAAATTAAGCCCATATACATTCTATATTAATATACATGCATGTAATTACATATACATAATTATATATAAAATATTATATAGTATGTAATTCTGCCACAAAAGTAATGTTCAGAGTCTATCATGTTTTACCTCATATGTAGTAAGTAGACTTAAAAATACCTGACATAATTGTGAAAATATGCATATATTATAAAAACATTAATTATATATAAATTATATAGTACATGTATAGATACACCATTACATAACATTATATATAAACTTATATATATATAATTCAAAAATATATAATGATAATATAATATACTGTATATTATAATATACAATAAATTATATATTATATGTGATATATTGTCTATATAAATATATATACTTTTGTGTCATATATATCATTTTGTGACATATATATATATATATATATATATATATATACTTTTGTGATCTTCATTTACAGAATACAATATATTTCAGCATATATATAATATTATATATTTCGGGAGGGTATTGTGAGGCTTGAACTCAGAGCCTGGTCACTCCAGCTTTTTTTGTACCATTAATGGAGATAAAAAGTCTTACTGATTTTCCTGCTTGGGCTGGCTTTGTACTACAAACTTCACACCTCAGCCTCCTGAGTAGCAGGATTATAGGAGTGAATCAATGGTTCCTGGCTATATATTATATTTTTATAGATTATATCATCTCATTTATGATACTATATATTATAGTTTACATATTGTATATTATATAATGTATTATGTGACATCATTGATATTAGATTATATGATATATTAAATATAATTATAATTACATAATTTTATATAGTATATTTATAATATATTTATTTGTATATATACATAATATATGCATATGTATTTACAAACCCATACTGAAATCCAACACAAAATCTCATGTGAGAAGAATAAGCAGAGAATGTAATTAAGAAAGAGTAACATAACTGGGATTAATTTGATCGAACTACATTACATGCTAGTTTTAAATATGATAACAAAACTCCTCTGTACAATTAATTCATGCTAGTAAACTTTTACTTATTTATCTTTAAAAAAGAAAAAAGCCAGGCGCTGGTGGCTTACACTTATAATTCTAGCTACTCACGAGGCTGAGATCTGAGAATTGTGGGTCAAAGCCAACCTTCACAGAAAAATTCGTGAGACACTTATCTCTAATTAACCACTGTAAAAATCTAAGTGGAGTTATGGCTCAAGAGGTAGAATGCTAGCCTTGAGCAAAAGAAAGAACTCAGAAAAAGCACCCAGGCCCTTAGTCCAAGCCCCATGATTGACAAAAAGTAAAAAAAAAACAAAAAATGAATATGCACCATGATCAGTTTCAGTCCAGAAAATCATGGTTTGAAATAATCAATTTAATAAGCAATGCAAAACTCTTATGAATATATCCATATATTTAGCAAAAGTATCTTATAAAATATAACATCTCTTCATGATATAAGCCCTGACCAGGCAAAAGCTATTATTAGCTCATCCCTGTAATTCTAACTACTCAGGAGATTGAGACCTTCATTGAAAGCTTTCAATTTGAGGTTAACCTAGACAGAAAAATCTGTGACTGTTATCTCCAACATAACCAGCAAAAGCAGTGCAGAGGCAGAACTCAGGCAGTGCGCAGTCAGCTTAGCAAACAAACACAAGGCTCTGAGTTCAAACCCTGGTACCAGATTTCCTCCTTCTAAAAAACCCTGAAAACAACACGAAGTAAAATACCTCAACATAATAACTGATATAAATACAAATTCTAATGAAAGTCATTTTAATAAACTGCTAAAATTGGGTACAAGATCCAGCTGTTGTAGTTCTAGATATAAATTAAAAGGAAATTTAAGTTAGTATACCAATGAGTTAACTGTAAAAATCATATTTATTGCCATGGCAAGCATGATACAAGCCTGAGTGCCTTCAAATACACATATGTATATAGAGAATGTCTTAACTATATAGCCAGAATTTACAAGTAAACACAAGGCAGTTTAATTCCATTAAAATGAGTTATATTTTGTGGCAAATGAACTATGTAACTTGTGGGCAAGTATGGTAAAGGGACCATGTGGGACAGCAAGGGAAGGGGTGACATTGTCCAAAGACTTAAGATGTAATAATTTTTGACAAGAAATGTATTCATTACCTTATGTATGTAACTGTAATCCCTGTGTACATCACCTTGACAATAAAATTAAATTTTTAAAAAGATGGAAACCATGGGCTGGAAAGGTGGCAGTGGTAGAGCTCTTGCCTTGTAGGCATGAAGTCCTGGGTTCGATTCCTCAGCACCACATAAGCAAAAAGAAAAAACCTGGAAGTGGCGCTGTGGCTCAAGTGGTAGAGCGCTAGCCCTGAGCTAAAGAGCTGAGGGACAGTGCCCAGGCCCAGAGTTCAGGTCCATGACTGGCAAAAATAAATAAATGAAAAGATGGAAACCACAAAAAAAAGAAATATAACCTTTCTGGCAGTAAAATTATATTTAAAATATTCCACACAATTAAAAACTGAGTTTATCTTTGACAAACTTTGAGGAACTATTAAGGAAATCAGAAGAAAAGAGGTCTCCGTATTTCACATTATAGACAATGGAGTATTATTTAGTCATAAATGGAATATTATTTGTACCAAAACAGATGGGCTTGTTGGACATTATGTTAAGTAAATTAAGCTAGATATGGAAAGACACATGCTGCATGTAATCTCTCCCATGTGTAAGCTAAAGGACAATGGACCTGAATGAGTAAACGGGGCTAATAGAGGTTGGGCAAAGGAGTATGGGAGGAACATGGAAGAAAAGATGTTAGATTTGATTGAAGCAGGTAAAATGTGTATGTGGCACTATCACATTGAACTCAATATGTATAATTAGTACATGTTAACCTAAAAGGAAAAATTCACATGACTGTAAAGAAATGAAGATATAGGAGTAACTTTCAAAGAAAGGTTGAAAACTAAGAAAAAGTGGCTCAACACTGTAATGACAACTATTTGGGAGGGAAATATTAGGAGGATTAAGGTCCGAGGCTAGCCCTATGGCAAATGTACAAGAGTTTATGGGAAAAATAAATAGAAAAGGGGAAAGATGAGCTGGTTGTTTTAGTTGTACGTTGCCTGCCTAGCAATTAAAACTAATTTTTTTGCGGGGGGGGGCTGGGGTGGCTGTGAGGCTTGAACTCAGGGCCTGGGTGCTGTCCCTAAGCTCTTTTGCTCAAGGCTAGCACTCTACCAGCCTGAGCCACAGCGCCACTTTTGGTTTTTGAGTGGTAAATGGGAGAAAAGTCTCACGGGAACTTTTCTGCCTTGTCTGCTTTCAGCCAGGATTCTTAGAATTCAGCCTCCTGAGTAGCTAGGATTATAGGTGTAAGCCATTGGTATTCAGCCTATCCAGCAAATTTGAGACCTTGAGTACAAACCCCAGTACTATGAAAAAGAAAATGAAAGAAAAATGAAAAGAAAAAGACAGCCAGAAACCGTTAAATAGGTTATTTTGGCTCTTTTTTAGTTGTCCCAGTAAAAAGTACGTAATTGTGAATCAGGAGGAAACACAAAATTACCTAGATATTCTCAACAAAGAACTAATAACATTTTTTTAAAATTTTTTATTTAGTTAGTTATGCAGGGTCTCCGCACATCGCTTCAAGTAAGCCTGAAATCTTTACGTAGCTCAAGCAAGCCCAACATCCTGTCTCGGTCTCCCAAATGGTGGTATTAAAGTCATAAACTTAAAACCGCTGCAAAATGGCAGTTCATATGACCAGTTACTTAGCAACACGTTATTTTGTGTCGCAACTGTACAATATTTGCCTGGCATTATTATTAAGAAGCCCAGTAGTAATCATACCGCGTTTTACCACTCAGTAAAATCAACGGTCGATAGAGGCCCCGCCACGCACTATTTTCCAACCAAGCACGTGAAACGGGCATAGAAAAAGGGCCCCGATCCTTACCTGGAATTTGTATTGATTCTTTAATGCGCTGTAGACTTCTCTGCAATTCTTCTTCAGTTTTTTCACCGATGGCGCCAAGCAAGTTGTTATCTCTCATAAGTTTGTAGTCTTCATTACTCAGGCTGTTCACAAATCGGTAGAAAGCTTCTTCTCTTGCCAGTCTCTCCCTTTGGCGTCTATGTTTGACCAACGTATCATTTTCATTGTCGCTAGAATCTGAATCTTCCATCTTGCCAAGCAAGTGGAAGATAAATAATTAGTAAGGAATGGCACTCATTATCTATCTATTGGAGTGCCACCCGGCACCAACGGCAAGTTGGTTCGTTACGCGTGTCTTTAATAGGCGTTGAGTTCGTCTGGACCTCTTATCTGATTGGTTCCAGCCTTCCACGTGAGTCTGGCTTAGTTCTCTGTGAGTGGTTGCCTAGGGGGCCATTTTTTTCTCCCCAAACGCCCCCCCCCACCCTGTCCGTTGCTAAGAGACTAAATCCTGCTTAGTTATTTCATTTATGACTAGAAATGACTACCTTTGTGAAATCCTAACCGTTGTCCTTCAATTTTGTTCTACCACATGAATCTATTCTCATGTTTCAGCTACTTGTAAAATAAATTATACATACTGAGGGAAATTAGTTTTATCTTGGAGATTACTGCTCATCTCGAATCCATCCTACAAACGGCTGTATTTCTCCATCTTTAGGTATGCCAAAACTTCTTTTGTTTTGTTTTAGCTTTATAGTTTAGCTTAAGCTAGAATCTGGTGAGGTTGAGCTCTGAGGCCCGTAGTGAAAGCCAGTCTGAGGCAGACAAATATGTGAGACTCTTACATCCAATTAACCAGTAAAAAGTTAGAAACTAGTCTGGGCAGGAAAGTCCATGAGACCGTTATCTCCAACTAACCACCAGAAAAGGCAGAAGCGAGCCAGTCACAGATGGCTCACTTCTGTAATCCTAGCTACGCAGAGGGCTGAGATCTGACGACCACTGTTTGAAGCCAGTCTGGGCAAGAAAGTCTATGAAACCAGTAAACTACTCAGAAAAATCTGGAAGTGGTGCTGTGGCTCAGTGGTAGAGTGCTAGCCTTCAGTACATAGAGGTTCAGGGACAGCTCCCAGGTCAGGCATTCAAGTTCAAGGACCGGCAGAAAAAAAAAGGTAGAAGCAGAGATGTGGCTCAACTGGTAGAGTGCCAGCCTTGAGCAAAAAAAAAAAAAAAAAAAAAGCTCCATTATAGCTAGCAGGCCCATTTTCTTACCTCCCCCTACCTTTTACTAACAGGGAATGGTAGTTAAAAAAAGGAGGGGTGCATTTTGACTTGCCCATATATCCATACAGTGTACCTTAATCATACTCTTAGCTTTTAAACTAGTATCAATTTGTTTCATTTTTAAGTATTTTGACTACATTCACCCTCCTTCACCCTTTCCATTTAACTTCCCCCCTTCTATACTTGTATCTACACCCCAACAGGACCATTTTACATTCTGGTCATTCATGTTTTAAGCATATGTTAATTGTTCAAAGTGGTTTCACTGCAGAAAGTTCTCACAGAAACTTCTGACTTCTCAAGAATTCCTCATATAGTTGATGCATACTAACACATCTAAATATTTGATAAAACTCCAAAGCCAGTTCTAAATCTCTTGAGAGGGGTCCTTTCGTTTTTACTTCTTAATGGCTTCATTTTGGTTTATAGTCTCTTAAACTTTGTAGAAAGGATTTCAAGCTAATCTTAAAACTATTAAGGCTTATGGGGAGCTGTGCAGTACAGAGATAAAACACATGGCCATGGTCATGCTGAAGGCCTTCTTTTGATCCCTAGGAACTCCCCCCCCTCACTCTCTCTCTCTCTCTCTCTCTCTCTCTCTCTCACACACACACACAGCTTCTACCAGGTTTGGTGATAACCCAAGAGTAAAAGGTTATCACAAAGGAATGCAGTCTCATTTTTAGTTTCTTTTCTCTCAAGTGTAATAAATTCTAAAACAAAATGATCAAGAACATCATAGACACTTTAAAGATAGATCCACAGCTGAGATAGGACTGGTGGCTATTATGTTATTTTAGCACCATCACTGGTGAGATTGAGGCAAGAGGATTTCATGCTCAAGGCTAGCCTAGCTAGGGTAAATGAGACTCAATCTTTAACACACACACACACACAGTTTGTTTGTTTGTTTGTTTAGGTAGCCAGTCCTGAAGATTGAATTCAGGGCTTGGGCCCTGCCAGTAAGCTTCTTTTGCTCAAGGCTAGCACTCTATCACTGAACCACAGCTTCACCTCTGGCATTTTGGGGTAGTTAATTGGAGCTAAGAGTCTTAACAGACTTTCCTGCCTAGGCTGGCTTGGAACCCAAGTCCTCATATCTCAGCCTGCTGAGTACGTAGAATTATAGGCATGAGCTATCAATGTTCAGCACACCATTTATTTTGAATTTATCTTGTTTACAGTAATAATTATTTTAATCCATGTATCTTTGTGTACACACTATAACTTCAGAAAAAATAATGCTTATTTATAATGCTTTCTAAATTAGTCTAAGATTTTTCTGGCTTCATATTAAGAAGCTCGTGTATTCATTTTGGAATCCTTCATTTAAATTGCTTCTATAGTTAAAATACTTGGCTACAACGTCTGAAAATCATGAACCGATTTGACTAATTAATAAAATATTCATCTGGATGCTGGTGGCTCAGGTCTGTAATCCAAGATATTTAGGATGCTGAGATCTGAGGATCACAGTTCCAAGCCAGCCCAGGCAGGAAGCTGGTGGAATTCTTATCTCTAATTAACTACCCCCAAACCAGAAATGGAGCAGTGACTCAAATGGTGAGCACTAGTCTTGAGGAAAAAATAATTAGGGGCTGGGAAGGTGGCTCAGTGGTAAAGTACTTGTCTTGCATGCATGAGGCCCTGGGTTTGATTCCTCAGCACCACATAAGCAGAAGTAGCCAGAAGTGGAGCTGTGGTTCAAGTGGTAGAGTGCTAGCATTGAGCTGAAGAGCTGAGGGACAGAATTCAGGCCCATGACCTAAAAAAAAAAATTCTCAGGTAAAGTGAGCAGGCCCTCATATCAAGCCTCAGGCCCACCATGAAAATAAATATTTAAATACTCTATTCCACATAAATGGACTTAGTTATTGTCCTAGATACTGGTGATATTTTCAAATATTACAATAGCCTCTACTCCCAATTTACATTCTATATGAGGAAGTATTATATACAACTATCAAAATGTATTGTATGCTATGAAAGATTCATAATTGTAGCCCATGGTGATGGCTTGTACTTGTAATCCTAGCTACTCAGGATGCGGAGATTGAGGGGATTATGTTCCCAGGCTAGTCCGGGCAAAATGTTCAGGACACCTCATCTCAACCATCTCAAACAATATCACTGCTCAGGAATACATGCCTGTCATCCAAGTTACTACAGGAACCATAAGTAGGAAGACTGTGGTGTAGGGCAGCCTGGGGGGTGGGGGAAGAGAGAGAGACAGAGAGAGAGAGAAAGAGAGAGAGAGAGAGAGAGAGAGATCCTATCTCAAAAATCAGCAAAGCAGAAAGGGTTGGATGTTTAACTCGAGCATCAGAGCATCTGCCTAGCAAGCATGAAGCCATGAACTGAAACTCTACCAAGTCTAAAACAAAACAAAGATTTGTAATATTGTGTAAGTACAAGTACAGACAACTGAGTGGTACTGGATAGCTAGTTAATGGGAGTTAAGAAAAGTTACAAAGATATTATAATTAAATCTAAATTCTTAAATATAATTATGAATGTCTGGAAGCAAAAAGTAGCATTTGAGCATGTGTTTATGGAGATAAAACATGTCAGAAGAATAGATTTGATTTGATATGATTTGGGGTCTTTGGGTAGCTGTCTATAACTTGGAGATGAACTAGAAAAGTTGTGAAATTAATTGATAGAGCAATAATCTAAATAGTGCGTAAATTACATTTTGATTTTTTCCTGCTAGTGATGAGATATGAATTAGGATGTTTCATTATGTTTATTAGAACAAGCAGTACATTTTTATTTTTGCCTGCTTATCATCAACTTGGCATACTTAAAATCACATGTTGACTTTCCAAGGGAAATAATCACCTCTAGTCTTAGTGTGGTTTGTTTAGGTACCAATGAATTCACTGTCATAGCTAAACAAAGGGACATGGATCCAGTCATCATGTCTACATTGGTGTCTTAAATTGCTGGGTAATGGTAATCAGTTTGAGTATGAACATGTGATCTGAAGCAATCCAAATTTAATCTGAGGTTGTTAGCTGGAATTATTAAATGAGAAAATTATAATTTTTTTCATTGTGATTGCTGGTAGGATATAATCCAAAGATGCTTGTATCCATCTTGTTTACCTGATAACAAGCAAAATGAACATAGGGAGAAGTAAACAAATACAGAATTAGAAAACAGAAAAATAAGGTAGATGTTCCTTAGGTTTATAGATCTATAAATCAACATACTCTCCTGTATAATAGAAGCTAGTAAGGATTTTGGCCACATACCAGTAAAGGGCCCTATGGTTCCAACAGGAGAGTGATATGACCAATAATCTTATAAGCCATCAAAAGGAACTTTAATAAGTGTGACATGTAAAACTTATTTGTTAGTTTCCATTCTGTAAAGTTATCATGTTCATACATTTTAGATTTTTATTGGGTATATGATTTCATAAAGAAAACAAGTTTTTTCTTCTGTCAGTCTTGGTTTAAAACTGTTAGACATTGAAACTGAGTAGCATTAAATTAGATTTTTATTTGATTATGAATGAAATATGGTCAAGACATATAATTTTAATTCTGTTAAATGCATTTCTTCTCCTTACCATACAATTTTTCAAATTATCCTTGGATTTTGTATTTGTTTCACATATAACCAATATCTTTTGATACTTGTCCAAGCAGTATTCATTTAATTTGCAACTGAATTGAAAATATCCTAGAGTAAAGTTACACAGAACATTTGGTTTATATTAAGAAAGAAGATGGTCCTGGTGGGAACTCAAATCACTTTCTCTGATACCTTAATAAAAGAGTGAAATAATGTTATGTGACCAATTAGTTCCCTGTTGAGACCTTTAAGGTATTCAAGTTTAGCAAAGTTTTAATTGGTATAAAGAGATGTGAGTTTGCAAGTGTGTGCATGTATGTATGTGTGTGTGTCTAAAAGATGTTTGTTAAATTGATAAATATCTTCAATATAATTTCTGGA